ATAATAATAATAATAATAATAATAATAATAATAATAATAATAATAATAATAATAATAATAATAAGTAATAATAATAATAATAATGATAATAATAATAATTATAATAATAAAGTGATGATAGTAATAGCATATAGTAATAAAAATAGGAAGAAAGCAGCTTGCCTGATTGCTTTCTCGACAACTGTGGGCCAAGACAAATGACCGCGAGGAAAACATGATCAAAACATTTCCGAAATGTCAAAACCGAAAAAAAAAGAAGAAAATGATGGGTTTTTTTTTTTTTTAAATTCTTTTTAAAATATCTTCATCATTTAATACAATCAATGCATACAAGTTATTCATTACTGAAATTACTTTCTTCTTTTTACAATTGTGGTCAATTATTTAATAATTAATTAATTATTAAAAGCTGCTGTAATTGAGTTTTGATCGATTATGTCAATTTTATTTCGGAAAAAGAACAATTTTAGAACGGATTTAAATTTGGAATTTTTTTTAAAAAATGAAAATTTTGCATATTTAATTAGATAAGTATTGATAATTTCCTTTCTCTGTATGATAATAATTTTTGCATATAACTGTAAAAATGCTATCATAGTTAAATGATAATAATATCCAAAATTACTATTTATTATTTCAATATTTGAAATGATTTCGTGTGACCATAAATCATACGATGGAACAAAAAGAAAAAAAGATGGATTTATATGTGAAGTATACTTTTCTGATGAATATAAAATTTTCAAAACTGTCAACCTTTTTTATTAGTTGCAGTCTAATTTCAAATAATTAATATTAAAAAAAAATTTAATTTGAATTTTTTGAAATTTCGAATAATAAAATGCTGAGAATTTGTATTCAGCCATTGAAATTTTGATTTATTTTATTCAAAGGTATAAATTATTTGCATAGTAAAATAGTTACAAAATGCTTTGCACGTTTATTATATTTATTTTAGTAATCAAAAAATTAGTACATTCAATTTCAAATTTATGATTATCAAACAATAATCAAAGAACAAGCATAAAGCTTTGGTAAATAAAGTAGGATGAAAATCAAAATCGAGAAATGAAATAGTTTAAAAAATTCGTAAACTTGATAAATATTTTTTTTAAAAAAAAAAGCGATTGAAAAAATTTCGCCACAAACACAAATTTAAAAAGTTAAAATTTCATAGCAATTTAAAAAAGAAAAAATGTCATCAATTTTGTAAGTATAAATTAAATTTGATCACAAATTTTAACTTAAATACCAGTTTGTAAATAAGAATTTAATATTGAAATCGTGCAATAGAATGATAATACAATCAACAATACATGCTATATGCTAGATGATATTTTTAATTAAAAATATCATTTATAACTATTTCAAATTTTAATCTAATTTATTTCATAATCTTTGATCAATATAATAAATTCCATTGGATGAAGAAGAATAAAAGAGAAATGTAAAAAAAAAAAGGAAAAAAATATTCAGTTTAATAATTTATTAAATTGTAAAATATGGTTAATTTTTTGCTAAAGAAATGTTTCTTCTTTGTTTTCTTCCGGTTTTTTTTTTGTCGCCCATTCCGTTTCTCAATTTCCGGTTGCAATTTTCATAGAAAAAATTCAAATCTTCCTATTTTTCGGTATTTTTGAATCATTTGATATAAGTGCCAAAATTGTTTCACTTTATCACCACTATTATGCTCAATTTTGAACAAACATTTTTCTAATAAACCATATGAAATCCACACAATTATATTTTCTATGAAAAATGTTGCACGATCCAATTTTACCTAAAAATGAAAATAAAAATTTAATTACAAAAAAAAAATTAAAAAGAAAAATTTATTATTATAAAGTTTATTTTATGTTATGAAAATGTTTAATTTATTATTTATTTATTTATTTTTTTTATTCTCATTTTCTTTATTATTATTTAATTTTATTATTATT